GACCAACATTTTAACTATATTGCTTGTGTCCGAGTAGTAGTTCAGGTGGTCCTCCCATCGTTTAATGTTGTCGAAAGTGTCTCTTTTTGTGACGTCGTAAACTGTAAATAGAAGCCAAGTTATGTAGAACCCCAGTCCTACCTAAAAGAACGCCTTCAGCACAGCGATAGTACATTGGAGCCAAGGCTGTCATGCCATTTGCCTCTGCGCCTGCAGTGTCCTACAGGAGTTATCAACTTGGCATGGCAGTAGTACTTACCCATAGTGAAAGACTATAAGATGATCCGTCAATGTCAATAGCGGCTGGCATAAAATCCACCCCAATAGTGGGGGAGATGTGTGGATCAAACTCTTGTTTTGCAAAGCGTTTCATCAGACTAATAATAACATGGCATGATGCTGAACGATTGAAACAAACCTTGTTTTCCCTACTGAGGAATCTCCAATGAAGAGAATTTTGATGGGCTTTTGCATGGCTGAAAATAAAACGAGGCTGATTTATAATGCTGATTACCAAACATGAAAGAAAGCAACTGTTAACGTGACACGAAAAAAAATGCTGAGATATATTGTAAGACATAACCGACTGTCTAGGGATACCCAATCGTTTCGGTGTCATGCAAACCTAGTAAAGCGGGCGAAAATGGCAACATCGGTGGCTCAGAAGTCTAAGAGTTCCAAGAAAAGGATAGTCGAAATAAGTCGAGAAAGGAAGGGTTAGTTTTTGGTGCAATCGCGGAAGAGATAAACATATGTCACGTTGGAAACTAAGAGCCTGCTAGAGAAGTAGAGTTCAAAGTCGTATCCTGTAAAGTGACCATTACTTCTAAAAAAGGAGTCAAGTAGCTAAAATGACAAGGAACACAACTTTAACAATACAGTTTCTCCGCTACTATCGTTGTTTCAAAAACCAAAAATAGAATTCCAAGTTAAGTCTGCCACTAGATAAAATTCTGGTTTTATATGTAAGTTCTCCCTCTGTACAGTGCAAACAAAAGCTTTACTAAGAAGATAGAGGTGCCGAACCGGTCTTACTGTTTACACAGCAAGGCAAGCTCCTAAATAATGTGAGTCAGACTTCCGCTTTGTCAATAAGTCCGTGAACGAAGGAATAGTTCGAATGTTGATAGCACAGATCATAAGTAATCAGTCTGAGGGTTTGCATCCCGATAAAAGAGTCTTCCGTAATCCTTAAATTGATGTGATAACGTCCTCCACATCCGAGACCACAGTATGCCGAGGAGACTTCTTGATACAGACAGGAGTGGATATTACCTCGAAGTCAATAATAAAATTTTACAAGTTACACAGGCAGGGCCCTTGCCCACAAGAACGACAGCTAATATGTTTACAATTTGTCGTGAGCTAGCGAATGGGTCCGAAAAAGCTTTCAAGTAATCGAGAAAAAAATCGGCCCATAGATCCTGTTTTCAGGGGTTTTCTAAATGTATAAATACCGTACTCGAATCCAGTTTTTT